TGAGGATTTAGCCCTTTTACTATGACTTCTTGCACACACACACACACACAGACACACACTTCTACACACTAGTGAAAGCACCTGTGTGTGTGTGTATACATGCCTGTAACCACATGTTTGGCAAGGTGATTGCGGTTGCTCTCTGTGTATATGTCTGTGTGAGTAAGGTGATTGCGGTTGCTCTCTGTGTATATGTCTGTGTGAGTAAGGTGATTGCGGTTGCTCTCTGTGTATATGTCTGTGTGAGTATGTGTGTGTTTGGTATTAACACTGAAAACAAGCATTATCATCTGACTAAAGCTCCCTGTGGGAGTCCATGAGGCTTACGACGGAACGGGCCTCCCTGAAATCCAATATGTAAATCCACTTAGGGCTATAGTGCGCTCTGCATCTCTGAGCTGTTTGTGCGCTACATCAGCTTTGAGAGAGACAGATAAAGAGTTGGGGGGGGGGAATAGGGGTCATTTTAAAGATAGCAAAGTGTGTGCGGCCCTTTGAAAGAAGAAAGACATGTACGGGTTGGGAAGAGTGCGATGGGGGCCAGGCTGAAATAATCCTACTGGGTGAGGTGGGCTTTCATTTGATCCCCTCTGGAAGTGGCGAGCTATATGGGCAGCTTTGATGTAACGGAGAGACAAGACAAGTGTCCCCTGCAAAGATAAAGAGCAGGAGCTGGACAGCTGTGGGCTCCACATCTTTAAATAACCTGAACTGTGGCAAAGACATGAAGCGCAGGCGACTTACAGCCATGTCGTTAAACCAGGATGATTTATGGTTCACCTGTATGTGTGTCATGACATGTGAACATACACGTTGTGTGTGAATTGATGTACTGAGTTATTATCAAAAATGTAAAAACGTAATGACCAACACTAGTAATGTCAACACCAAAACTGAAAATGTGATTTTTGTTTTTAACAAACAAGACAGATCCTGGTTCAAATCCCAGTGCAGCTGGGGTTTACATAATGTCCCCTTGTCTATAAGGGTTTTCTCTGGCTTCCTTGCACAGTCAAAAGACATGCGGATTGGGGATTAGGTTGATTGGAGACTCTAAATTATCCATAGGTATTAATGGGAGAGTGAATGGTTCTTTGTCTCTATATGTCGTCCCTCTGATACGCCGGGATGTACCCCGCCTCTAGCTCAATGTCAGCCGGGATTGGCTCCAGAACCCCCGCGACCCTCAAAGGATAGCATTATAGATAACGGTTGGATGGATGTTCTTAAAAGCATCTTCACCGATTGGAAAAGTCAGCAGAATGGGGGAAAGAGGTTTTACTTTCAATGCTTATTTTGCCACCATTGGTAGAAACATAATTTCTGCATCACGAGAAATCAGTTCGACATTTAATTTGCATAGAAAATACAGAATGCAACAGATTAAGGAAAATATCCTCGCTGGAGTTCCAGCTTACCTTCAATCTCACAGCCCAGGAGCTCGAGTCGCAAGCCCATGCCAGCAGGAGTGGCCCTCTCTGGGTATATTCTAATGTAACGCGTCAGCAGGGACTCCACTGTCCTCAGCTCAGGAGTGTCGTAGTTACTATTCCCTTCAAATATCTGGAGGTGGAAGGACAAAGACAGAGAGGAAAGGGTGAAAAACAAAAAAAAGACATTAAGAGTAATTTGTTTGATAGCATCAATGCTGGGTATTTGATCGATACAGCTTTCTAAATGCAGGTGCCCCGAGTCAGCTTTATTCCTGCCTTCTGAAAGCTATGGGTGGATGGGTGGCATGTAATCTGTTGTTGGAAATATGTGAAAGAACAGAGGATGACCAGATCGCTCTCATCTTGCTGACATCTAAAGCGCAGCTTAGGCGACTCACGCAGGGGGCCATTGGCAGAGACAGCGTGGCCCACACTTCTGTCAAAGGCGAATTTCAGTTTCTTCAACTCTGCCTCAGATCCTATGCGAGCGGGGGAATAAATTAGTCTAAAAGAGGAGAATGTGGGGTGTGAGAGAAGAAAGCAAAGGAGGAGCTAGAGGATTGATGGAAGTGGATTAATGGGTGTGATCACGTGAAGGGGCCTGGTGTGCCTCAGATGCTGGGAACCTCTCAGGCGAGGGGAGAGAGGCGGCTAACTAGGACAGGGGGATATGGATCCCCTTGACTCCCTTCATAAATCAACAATCAGCCCATCTGGATCAGATTTATGCCCTGTCAGGGACGCTTGTAATTGGGGACAGGCTGTTGTAGCTCTTCTTGGGGTTGTGCGCATGTTTCTGTGTATGTGCTCGTATATACAGTTTCTGTGTGCAAAGTGTTGGCATGTGTCCTCCGAGCATTCAGTGTCACCCGCAGATAAATCTTGGATCAATTCTCCATGTTGCACACTCTTTCCCTCCTCGCTCTCATCTTTCCTTTCGTCTTTTCCCTTCACTTTCTTCACCCCCCCCCCATCCTGGAGAGGTTTCACTATCCACTGAAAGGGTTGAACGGTGTGTGAGTCGCACAGAATACAAAGCAGGAGGAGAGAACTAGGAAAGGACTCTGCGAGACATGAGATGCTTATCCTAATGTGATTCAAAGCGCTGCTGAAATTGACTCAGAACGACTGCTGAATGAGTCACAACTGCCAGGCTCAACGCTCTACTGAAAATTGACTACATGCATCAAAATCGGAATTGATGTTCTGATGTTTCCGAGAGCCAGTTTTAGACGTATGTATTCAAACCATTTTCCTACAGCCAGAAGGTAAAGTGATATCTTATCAAACCATCAATCCCAACCCATTCCCATTAAAGAACCACTGCGTACACACAAAGAACTCTTTGTGGGTTGTTTTGGACACACTTCAGTATTTTACAAGTTTGCTGTAGTTAAAACGACAAGCAAAGAAAAGACCCTTACCTTCGGCTTATTCCCGTTGGTGTCCAACACCATCCTCCACTCTGAGCCGTTATTGCTGTAGCCGAGACGGAACTTCTTCATGAAGACTTTGTTCTCACGGTGCTTCCCCCCCTGGATGATAAACCCCTTCACGAGCTTCTCCTCGCCGAGATCCACCTGCAGCCATTCATTAGTGAAGGGCTGGGGCTGGGGCAGCAGAGTCCACCCCGTCCGGCTCGTCAGCAGGCGAGCGTTCTCTGGTACCCAGCTCCGGTCTGTGTGGGAGGACGCTGTGATCTGGTTGTCGGTGATCAAGCCTGACACCATGCCCAGCATGCCCGAGCAGGGATACTCTGAAACACAAAAGGGAAAGCGAGAGGTGCTTAGCTTTTTGATAGAAACCAATGAAAACCCACWGAGAAGACAGGTAGCTGCGACTAAAGACTTCATCTAGATCCAAGGGCCTGATGTTGAACATAAATTACTAAGCTACACGTCAAGTTTGGTGAATTTGAGGTTTCTGTAGGGGCAAGTGGGACAGTGAAAGTGAGGAGAACAATTTCCTAAACTCATTGTGATGTTACTGTGATCTCTCCCTCCATACTCTTTCTCCCTCTGTCTGCAGATCTCATGCATACTAATTCCTCCGCCTGAAGCGTTTGTCTCCAGGCAGCCAATTAAAACCCTCCTCTCGGTTGGTGCTTCCACCTCCTGCATTCTGGGAGCGCCTTTTCTTTTCATCTCCCTCATCCACCCCCTTCTCCCTCTATGGACTCACATATACTCACACGTAGAAAAACACATTCTCTTTGTGTTTTATCTGCAGCTGCAGTCATCTACCTTCTACGCCGCAGCTGTCAGCATCTGTGCGGCTGCCTTTTAACACCTTGTTGGTTTCTGTCCACGTCCTCATACTTTCTTCTCCTCCTTTTGTTCCATGTCTCTGATCTTATAGATCCTAACCCTCTATAGGTGTTAGCGGCTTAAAATCAATCTCTGATTTGTTTCCTGAGGGAGAAGGCCCTTTTTTCCTTTTTCCTATCCCTTTACTGTTTATAGACATTCCTTCATACAAATCGGTAAACAGAACAATAACCTGTTGATACAGCTTGTAGCTATTTGCATGCTTAAACATGAGATTTGTTTTGCACCCCAGAGAAGGTGGGGGAGATACCCTGTGCTATGACTGAAAATTTTCAGCCAGAACAGCAACCAAACAACACAATTCAAAATTCTTTGCACCATAACCATTTTTTTGTTTAATCAACCTTCTTTGGCATTTTGTCCTAAAAATATTATTTATTACACTTAAATTGAATTTGGACATTTTCAAGAATGTATTATTGCAGTGACTGCCAGACTACTTTAAAGATAGGGAGGAACAATAATACAGGTTTCATTTATATAGCTTTCACTGTTGTGTACTTGGATTATTCATGAATTATGAATTTCTGCTAATCTTTGCACACTTTTGCAGTTTGTGAAGCCAAATTGAAAACACTGGAGTTTACAAATGTTTGTATGTTGTAATTACGACCAGGCGTCGGACACTTGACAGCTTGTATTAGGGCTACATCCCCCTTCCCTCTTTTCCTAACTTTTCACGTGCACTCAATCCCAGTCCCAAGACAGTGAGTCAGGGACCTGTGGTAAGCAATAACATATTTACTATCTGGCTCCCACAGAGGGATAAATCTGGGCATTATTACATCCTCTGTGTCTCTATGAGACAAAGTGTGCACTGTAGCACTGACGGGACTCAATTTCGTTGCTGCATCTGGGAAAAGATTTGGAGAACAAGGCTTCATTCAGTATTGTCTTTCTCGCTTGTTGGTTATCTAAAGCCGCTCCTATGCAGACCCGTGGGACCCTCTGGACTTTCATTCTTGAAAATCAGAACTCCAGGAACAAACGCTGTCAGTGTCGAAGGGTTTGTCTCTTTTTCTTCTTCGGTTTTCGGCCAAGATGTGTTTGGGATTCATCACAGGAGCTGGCCTCTGGCAGAGTAAAGCTAAGGCACTGACCATCTTTGAACAAGGAATATATGAGAGCAAGGTGTGTGTGTGTGCGTGTGCGTGCAGGAGCTGATCTGTGTTGAGGCACTGTGGTGAACTCCCTGGATCATATGGGGCTGTTAATCGACTTCAGCTGCGATCACAGCAGCTTCCGAGATGGCACGCATGTAGTGACACACCCAGAGGAACAAACACATGTGTGTTTTTGTGGACTGCCAGCACGGATGTTGATCCATGGCTATGTGGGCTGCATTAAGGGTTTGGGTGGAGCATCAGTGGTTCATCACAGATATTTATACACCAAGGCTTATTTACAAACAACAGGGCGGTGGTCCTTTATCATTAATGTGTGGCTGTTTGTATCAGCAGGGACATGGGACCATGGTGATCTAGGGAAAAACATCTTGCAACATTCTGGGGTTCAACTCCTCCCCTCCTCTAATGCCTTAATCATGGTCTTAACATCTAAAAATAATGCAACTGTGTAGGCTGCTACTATGGCAGCAATTTCAAGAAAAAGTTTTCCATTAAAGTTCTGATATTAGAGATTCATAACCTAAGGTAGGACTGACTGAGTCACTGAGTTCATGCAGCCTTCAAGAGCCTCCCAGTTGTTCTCCCTCCCACTGTGCTGCTACCATGCAGTGGAGCTGGCAGTGTCTTCAGAGCACCCAGGGGTGCTGACGTCAGCATGGAGGCCCTGTGGTGACTTCGATCCTGTGATGTGTTTATGATCTGCACAGCGGTCTGGTCGTGTGCCTGAAACACACGCCCCAGCTGCAGCCCTGCTGTACCCACAGTGCCCTGTGCTCCGGAGAGATACACACACAGTATGCAATCCACAACCACACACACAGATAACACAACAAACTTGACGAATGAGGACATTAGGCTGACTATGTCTAATCCTGACCCTAAATTTAATCCAAGGCTTCATCCTGAACTAACAACATTTGCAAAGAATACTTTCTGTGTTTTCTGTCCTTGTTTGACGTCCTGAAGTATTTAGGCACGCACTAACTAGCATTCAATACACATGCTCATGGATCCATAAAGCTGCAGACAGATGCGCTGAAACCATATGAAAGTGAGCCACAAACGTACATGTGCAAACACACACCACACTCGATCAATTAAAAAAAAGCCATGAGAAGAGCTTTGCCAAAATCAACGCTCTGTAAGCAAAAGACAGACTGTGGCTAAAGATGAGGCTGAGACCAGATCAGCAGGAGGGATGGACCACATAGAGCCCACCCAGCTCCAGCACTCCCTGCCTGCCAGCTGTTGGCTCCATTTATATTGAATGAGCTACATCTAAACATGGGGTAGCATAAATAGGTAATCCTCCCTCATGTGCCACTGCTCTATTATGCAGCAGCCTGCTTCAGCCTTGGAGGAGGACTCGCACAGAAATAGAGCTTCGTCCTATAAGAAGTGAGGTGTTTGTGCAACTGGGGGTAGGATGGGACATACCAACTAAGCTGCAACATGAGGAGAGCTGAACAGGCATGTATCATTAACAGAGTCAGTGGTATCGTCTGACTATTGCATTTGAAACAGTACTGTATCTAATCAGAGTTTGTTTTCCATGGCTGCTGTATGCAAACATGGGGCTGAGATCTGTGTGTGCGTGCGTGTGTGTATGCATGCATGTGGAGCAGCAGGAATCGCAGCAACACCAACCTGATATCTTACATCCGTACACCTCGAAACGCAGCGCGATGCCTGTTTCCCAGGTAACGGGACGAATCCGAAGGAAGCGTGTCAGCGTGGGTTTGGGCAGCATTGTCTTGGCAACGTCTGTTGGGTTGGTGTTGCCTTGGAAAACCTATGATAGAGGCAGAGTTATTGACAGAACATGTTGAGTTGAGATGCAGGATGGAAATTTGTGTGAGACCTTGGCACCGAATAAAGAAGTGAAAGAAGATTCACATCCATTTTTAAGCGTTGAGATTTATAACTGGAGCTGAGTGATCGGCCTTAATCTTCGTTTAGACAACGTACTGACACAGGAACGAGGTGTGAAAATCTAAATAATACTTTAAGAGCAAAAATTGTTACCATGCTGGTGCAACACTGTGTAAAAAAAACCTTTCTATAAGAGACAAGTATCACATAAAGCCGTCTGAAGGTTGGTTTCACTGACTGATAAATAGCTTCCCTGTCACTCCTGAAATTCCCGGCACTTCCTCTTGCACCACATGCAGCAGCACAAACACGCCACGGTGTGTGACTGCGAAACCTGAGGCGGTTAAATGTAACATTGACGAGACCAGATTGGCTCAAGATGCCCTCTCTGTGTCCCCTTGGTTCCAGAACTGGCGGACATTTTACTGCAGCGTCTTGTTTAAAGGTCAGAGATGCCGCTGTTCTCCCCTGGGGTCAGTTGACAGTTTACTAGCACCATATGAAGAGGCCGGCCACCCAGCTAAGCAACTCCCCGCAGTCCATCACGGTTCATTCTGGGTAATTGAATCACACCAGTGACCATGTGACCTCCTGACCTCCCTTACGGAGTAGCTATGGACTAGAGAGTAATCCAGCGGAGAGACGCAGAATGGAGAGAAAGATAAAAATATAGAAGTTTAGCTGATCTAGGATGAATGAAGACCAACAGGGCTGACCCTTTGGTCTTTACAACTAGTTTATCCCTCTGTAACCCTGAGCAATACTGGTATAGCATGTAGCGCCAGGTCTCTTCTCCACTTTACCAACTGTAAAGTGGCTTTTTCTCAGAGCTGCACTAAGACACCAAACTGCAGGCTCAGCATGAAGCAAATGGTGCCCCTACGCACAAAAGCACTTTAGAGTCCAGAAACACTGGCGGGGCTTACCCTGGCACCTTTAAGCCACCACTTTACAGAAGCGACTTGTGTACTTTGGAGGCACAATAAAAGAATCGGGCCTTGGGTATGTGTATACTCAGCAGCACAAACATGCTTGTTTGGAAGCTCTGAGAACTTTTTTTTTTGTTCCACGTGCAGCCTGGCACTCAAAAAACACCTTGTGGTATTTACATGTCACACAACCTGAGGCTGTCAGACACACACATTGCCTCCCTGACCCCGCGGACACCCACAGTGGAGGGTGTGTTTACCTCCAGATGGACAAAACCTGGTCTGTTTGACAGGCTGATCAGCAATCGATGGTTATAGCCTGTCACGCTCCAGTTAAGCATGCCATCCCTCCCGACTTTCTCCTCTTTCCCCTCCTGGACCCACCTCTACCAGCTGCTCAAACATGACAGCCTCTCCTGTTTCTGTCTCCCCCTCTCCCCTTTAACCCTTGTTTGTCAAGTCTTTTGTCAACCTTGAGTCTTTACAAGTTGACGGGAGCCTGACATAAAACGGTGGCTACATTCTTTACGCAATCCTCCCTGCGCCTACTGCAGAGCTGTATTAGCGTCGCAGTCTGTGCTGTAAATACTATTTACTTACACAGATGGTGTGTATATTACCATACCGAGCAAAGCATATAATTGCATGTTAGGAGACAGAGACAAGTACATATTGCTGAGTATTTTCCCTTTTGTTATGTTCAAAGGCAACTTGGAGCAGACCACAATTCAATTCAGCTGGCTGCTAGACTGGGATGGGATATTCTAAGTTCAGTAAACGTGGAGGGGTGGTTTTTGAGACATAGTTACCGGTCAGGCAGAAACAATAATAAAGCACTTTTGTCATCTGAGCTTCTCTGATTGTCTTACATAGAGCTAAAGGCTGCAAACCATACACAACTGTATGTGTCAGAATTATTTAGCTTTTTCACATTTGCTGCTTGAAAACCTGGGCCCGCCTACCTTTTGTTTGGAGCCTTCCTTCAAAGTGATCCAGTCTTCTCCGTTAGAACTGACGTCCACCTTGTATGACTTGACAAAGTAAACCCTCCGGGTCTCCTGGGAAATGGCCCCCTGGGTACCGATGGCCGAGACAAACCGCAGGAACCCAAGATCCACCTGTGGGGGGCAAAGGAAAAGACACATAAGCTGAGCAAACACTGCTAAAATGACTCTGCATATTGTGAGAAAATTCCAGCTGTAAGGAAGCCAAGATTCCCCTTCAGCACGACACACTGGAGCATATACAACTAAAATAATTTTTTCTTTTCCGGCTCAGATACATGAATAATTTTTGGAGAAGAGGCTTTCAGTGCAGTTTGTATTAATAATGCACTGACAAGCTGGAGAGGTACAAATATAACCCCCTCCCTATTAGAATCACCTCTGGCCATAGTCTGCTACCTGGAATTTAATAAACAGCTATGAAATGATAGTCACATTAATGAAAGAGACACAGGATGACAATCTAATTTCCTGAGATGGGAGACAAGAGTTTATTGGATAAAAGTGAATGTTGAATAAAACGAGTTCTGCAATCATATTATCAAAATCGGCCAGGAGGAAAGAGAGATACACACTGAATATCAAATATTGTGCTTTTTAAACATGCAGGGCTTTCTAAAGTAATCATGAACTGCGGCGCATTAATGGAGGGCTTTTATATTTTCACAAGGAGGCAGCCGGAGGCGGTGGGGTCAGAGATTCACGTGAATGAGAGTCAGTTCTGTCGTGGCATCTATATATGTTAATGTGTGTTTGAGTGAAACATTCAGAGATGATGCTGAGCAGAGAAATGTACTGATTTGCATTAGACCTGTAGGAGCAGCATAGTGTCTCTCAGCCATCATGGTGTGTTCATGTCCATCACTGCCAAAGAAAACACAAACACACACTCTGTCTGCATGTCACTTTTCTTTGCTGTCTACTGCTTGTCTGACCCCACTGCAACTTGGCTCGGAGTTGCATGGAGAAGCGGTCAGTTATTGATTGGGACACATCAGCCACCAACAATAACAAATGGGCTTCCTCCTGACCTCTGTGGAGGCTACTTAACCCCACCGTACCATCCCTTCATCCATAACTGAGGCAAAAAAAAAGAGGATGTGATGTAAAACTCAAAGCCTGTCAAAGAATGCTAGCTCCTCAGTGTATGAAGCAGTGTGCTTAATTTCAACAAGCGTTAACACTGTCTCTGACAGGCTGAGCTGACATTAATGAGGTGTAATGGCGTTGCATGCAGGCTCCACTAAAATGGCAAAACACGAAAGCCGGGGTGTTGGTGGAGCAGGTTTCCAAGATGATGATGAGAGATAAGGCCTTTGATGTTGACGTGAGATGGGCTCAGGCCATGATGGATGGCGACCAGAGTCTTGAGTAGATTACTGAATCGACTCAGGGGGATACCATCGGTATGTGCATCTGCAAGGGTGTGTAATGACAGCGACAACAGTGAAATCCTTCATGCGGGTGCGAGCAGACAGAGCAAGTAGCGTGTGCAAATTTTGAGAAAATCAAAGCCAGGTTGATCTGCCTCCAATACAGCCCTGGCATGTTAAAACCATACAGTCAGAGCCGCTATAGCTTTGTCTGCCAACCTTATATACAGCACTTTACCACACTTAATGACTCGGAGCAAAGAGCAGTGAAGGAACATCTGCGTGCCACAGAGCGCTGGTCATTCCTGCTCCTCACATTCGGTTCCAGAAGTAAAAAGAGATAAACAGATGGGAGCAATAAATGAGGTTCCCCCATGCTTTTCTCTCACTGTCTCTTGGCTACTCGATGGATGTGGATGGATGGAGACTCACAAAGACTGTCTCATATAAAGACTGAATACTTTTGTTCCTGACTACAGGCTTAATAGGCTTTAACAGTAAGTCCCAGATTTCTTTTGGGTCCACAAATAGAGACAAAATCAAATCCTGTCAGCTTCAGATGGTTCCCATTTAATAACACACAAGCTGAATTCCTCTCTGTTGGGTAAATATATTTAGCGTATGTGCCAGCACTGGAAGGGGAAAGCACAGCGGATGGTGGTGAGACCTCTGCTTGCTTATATTAGCGCAGACTTTAACATCTGTGTTCAAAGAGCCAGTGTTACTAATTTCCAATCTGCACTAACGGTGATGATGCTTACTAAAAAGGCTCACCTAATAGAACGACTTGGCCTTAGGATATTTTTTTGAAAGGATCTTATTAGATATAATGGAGAGGAGGAACCTCTGGGGATGAAATGAGTGGCGGGACTAATTGGGAACACTCATGGGTGCTCAAACCTAAACAATCTCAGGACATGAGCGTGCTGAAATATGACTGATTTGATGAGGGTTGAAGTAATGTCAGACTTTAATCAATATTCTGAGCCAAAAAGATTTCATCTGAAGAGTAGTAACTTTTTAGGTCTTCTTTTCAGATGTATACTTATACATGTCACTTTGTAGTCAGTTGTTTTAAGGTCCTGCAAACCAAAGAGGTGCTGAAGGAAAGTTTAATTATTAGAATTTTTGAAAATCTTTTACACAAAAGTTCAAATCATATGCAGCTTGAATCCAAAAGTCAAAGTCTCAGTCTGTCAGATTCACCTGTGACTTGAGGACAAAGGTTTGACGAAAGACGAAAAAACAAGATGGTTGGAAGGAGAAGCTGGCCATTGACATTGATGCCTTGGAAGATGTGATGGACAGAACCATGGGGTCTCCAGTGAAGGAGTGTACAGACAAGATCCATTTCACAGACGAGGGCTGCTAACAAGGCATGTGTAACGGGCAAAGCATGATTTATTAATGGCTGCTTGTTAGAGGCAGAGGAATGAGGCAGAGGCTGCGCTAACAGACTGAGGTTACACGGGTCAGGGAGAGAAGACGTGCTGCCAGGATACTTGGATGTAAAGCGCAGTCCATCCCACACCGCAGAGACCACAGTGAAAACAAACAGGACCAGATAATGATTATTGGCGGGACTCCTTTTTATCCTGCAGCCATGAACAGCACAACATGACCTATATACATAAACCAATAACCAACAATTAGAAATTGCACACAGCGTGCAGTGGGTCTTGGGTAAATATATGCCGCTCAGATGATAAACTATCAAGCCCTGAAAGGCTGAATCATGCTTAATGGGTGATGTAATCACTGTACTGAAAGGTTGGATTTATGACTCCTAATCTAGCATCTGCAGGAACATGTTGCATTTCCAAACTTTGCTGATCCAACAGAATGAAGCATAAGTCTCTTCCACATTCACCATATTGTTATTCTCCTGCAAGCGCGTTTGGACTCAATCCCACCTATAGACAAATGACATTATACATTTTGGGCATGCTGGTGCATGGTAACTCATATCTGGAGAGACACAAACAAACACAGAGTTGGAGCCATAAACATGCCAGACAGGGTAAGAAATCACCCAGACACTGAATCGTTCCACAGAGCAGCGGCAGGCCGATACGTGGGCACGACTTCAACGTGTTCTTGTCTCCTGCTCCAGCTCAGTCCAAAATATGTTTGACTGTGTGCATGTGTGTTTTGGGTGTTCTCTGCTTTCCTGTTGGGAGGCAAACTGATGACTCAAAGTCTCTTGCCTCACAACAGCCACTGTACATGGCTCCAGTTGTTTGTTTGTTCACAGACTAATGAAACCAGAAAAGCAGAAAAAGAATTGAAAAGTCAACCTTGGGCTTTTGTCATCAGGTGTGTTTACAATTAGATCTACATGGACATACTGAAATCCACTTCGACTGAGCCATTAATGTGTGTAATTGTTATACATTATGAAGAGTCTGTGTTTTCCTGTGGTTGTACAAATTTAAAAATATGCTTATTCCTCAGCATCAGTGGCATTTGTGGGAGTGATCATGACGTCACTCTGGTGCTCAGTGTATTGTCTCAGTGCTGTATGACTCAGTTGTGCAGCAAAGGCCACATGATATGTATTTGAGGTAGTCATTGTTATGTGGGTGTAGAGAGCAGACATGAGGCTTATACAGGGGGTGGGGGGGGTAGCAAAGGCTCAAGAGCTCTATCTCTTGCTGCTTGATTGCCTTATAATTGAGTTGCCAAGAAGTTGTATGCAGCGAATTGTTCTCCGAGAGAAAGAAATTTACCAAATACTTTTTTTCAGCCCATTTCTCTGCTTCCAACTGAGACGAGAGAGAGAGAGGGGTGTGTGTGTGTGTGTGTGGGCAGCTGAGTGAATAACCAAGGTCTCTGGAGGATGAATTTATTAGTTTTCCCTCACCAAAAACAACAGCGAGAGAAATGTTGAGGGTCAGAAAGGAGGGAGCATTCTTCTGTGTTCTAAAGTCAAAGAGCAGCTGGTGGGAGATTGACAGGCTGGGATCATCCTGGGCTATCACATAGATGCAAAACCCTGATTAAAATGTCCTTTGTATAGTGATAAGGGAAAGCTATTTTTCTGGAGGATTGGGTCCGGACTTTCTCCGGCAGTGAAATCATTTTGGCAATAACTGGAGTTTTTACTGAGGGGCTGGCCAGAGAAAACCTGGAGCGGTTCACTCAGAGATTTTAATTCTCACACACACATATAGAATGTATGAGTCTAGCACCTATAAACACAGCTACTTTATAAAAGCAGTTCGAGAAACATTTAGAAATCACTCCACTACCTCGGTGTTGGTAGTTTGAGCGTTTTAGGAGCTCCATTACCTGAGAGTATAATTAATTCTCCTTTCATGAAAATTGTATTACTCCGATGCTGCAGGACCTATGAGCTCCACTCCGACCCTCCATTTATCACAATACTCACCTGACGCAATTACACTTTATTTTTAGCCCCTCGACACCTCTTTGGTGGCATTAAATTATGCATGTCTTCCTATACGCTGATCATCTCTTTTCCTGACAAAGAGGGACGTATAGTTAGGGTGAAAGATATAATAAAAGAGAAGGTTGTCTGGTTTGTTGAGAGTGAAGTGTGCTCAGGGTTTGGTACATACTGTTGCATGATTAATGGCTTAAGTCCCAGCTTTTAAAGGAAGGTTTCCTAACAGTGGTTTTCCTTCAGTGTGAATCACCTTAAAGACTCTTAACTCCAGGATAAGTCCCATCCTTACCCCACACACATGACATAACACTCTGGGTAATGATTATGAAACCATGACACAGGGATCAGCACGGAAAAGAGGGCGACCTGTAGGTATGTCACGTCTGGAAGCTGCATGATGACCCCATCCCTGGATATACAGCTAAAGAGCTCCATTTACTGATGACAAGCGGCTCCGAGGCTTTCAGGCATTTTCCCTGTCTCCAGCGCAGACACTGAAAATGACACTGATTACGGCTGAGCTGAGGTTGTGTCTAGGGGTACTTATGCAGCACTGTTTCATTTCATTACATCATGCCATCCCTCATGTTTCGATTTCTAGTCCCACTTTTGGGCTACTCCACTCAACTGTGGGTCTCTATCCTCACATTGATTTTCCAATTGAGAGCGAGGCCTGGGAGCAGCGAGGCACAGACAGCATCCATTGTTTCCATTTGTGCGGCACGGTGATGATCTCACCGGCAGCCGCATGCCAGCCTCCGCTTCTCAGTTCTTGCACTTAATCAACTGAGAAGCTGCTGTTAATTACTGGTCCATATTATAATTACTCATCAACTCGGCGCAGAGGGAAGCCCTGGACTTGTGACAGAAAGTGAAGACAGAGACAATGGCAGTAAAGGGGAAATTTCTGTAGCTCTTTGACCTAGGGTAATTGAAAACACATTTAGATGAGAAGGGAAAACAGGATATAGAAGCCTGTGCCGTTTTATAATCCAATCTTCGCCTCTCCACTTGCGGCTGCAGAAAAGAGAAACGCTGCAGTTGCCAGACTGGTGATTTTGTCGAGGAAGTGTACAATTAGTGGTTGTTTGGTTGGTCGGGCGGTGGAAGTCAACCTGTTATCTTTGCTAAGTGGCCCAGGTTTCACAGTGTTGTTTACCTTACAGATTCAGAGGAAATATGGTTAAAGTGGGACATGCCAACCCCAACCCTCCATCCTTAATGTTATAAACTCCTTGTTATAACTTTCTCCGCAAATGGTTGACCTTACCTTTACCGCTAAGGCAAGATTAAAGCAAGAGTAAAGGAGGTCACTGTGTCCCTTCATGATTAAACACTTTATGTTATAGAGACTGATAAATACTGATGAAGTTGTCGGGGGCAATTCATCACAGCAAGAACATTGAAGATAATGGCAGGAACCATTGCAAAATTTCACAAATGAACAGAAGCTTATTAGTATGAAAAACTGTAACCAAGTCCTGGTGTATGAGATAGTATGAACTGTACCATGATGTGATGAACAATACAGAGGCTTTCAGGTATCGACAGTCCGGTTCTCTCCAAGACAGTGTAAATTATTCATGTTTTGTATATGTGCAATCAATGGAAGCTTCCTGACTGGGATCCAGTCTTGCTCTTATTGCTTCATCGGTGCTGCGGTGTCTCACGGCGGCCATCAGATCCTTCCACTGACATATTTGACAAAGCCGTTCCACACTGTGTCAGCTTCTTAGCAATTTTCCCTGTCACGGTCCCAGAGGAACTGTAAGTTCTCGAGCTGTGACGTGCCAGTCTGAAATCATAAACCTTCCTCTTAGAGACAAATGTATTGTGCAGATTAAGGTTTTTCCTCAGCAATATTATGCGTTGCTCAGGTATCCTTTGTGGAACCAGCCTGAGTTCATAAAGCAAGGATCAGTCCATAAACTGGGTAGTCTGGGAGGGGGGTGTACCCTCATTTATTTTTGCTGTAACCTGCTGCACAGACCCCACTGTTCATCCTCTTATGCTTCAAAGAAAGCCATGGCTCATGCAGCCAGATAATATGCACAAATCTCCCTCCGCCTTGATGTTGGTCTGTAGACACGAATTTTCAAGAGGAATGAGGAAAACAAGGGCAGAAAAAAGGAGTGAAAATGAGCAGATCTGAAAGGAACAAGTGAAAAAATGAAGTCCTGTTCTGAGGGATTACAGCCTCTTTTTATTACTCCCTGCTCAACCCCCTCAAAGGACATCTGTCTATCTCAGTGTTCACCAAAGGGCCGATTAATGACCTGGCTAACCCAGCACTCATTGCTGAAACACACCACACCAATCTAATTACCCAGAGAAGAGTGCACACACTCCAGTATCTTGCCCTCCTCCTCTGCCTGCATCAGAATAAGGCAGCATTAAAATGGATGGCAAATCTGGAATGTGTTCAGCAAAAAAAGAAGAAAAAGCAGAGTGAAGAAAAATGCCCAGGAATCAAAAGGCCACCTGTCATGAATAATAAAACTGTGGGCCTCATACTGCAGTCTGGGAGTGATAATGAAATAAATAATGAATTGATTACTATGCATGTAATAGCAGACTGAGATGATTTGTACGTGCAGTGAGGCGGCCGGAGCTTGTTGCACCATGGACAGGCATGATGAAAGAGGAATGAAGAATTCGACTCTGTTAATACCACTTGTGATAATTGGGCTTCTCAGAGTGCTCTGCGCAAGTGCATCACACTCCTCGGAAAACATAAATTATGTGGAGAGCACAGACTTCGCTCTTTTGCTGTGTTTGAATGAAAAAATTAGAAGAGCCCTGTTCAGTATTTTGAACTGATTAGTATTGTAATGTCGGTACCAAATCGAATCCTCAATATGATCAATACTACAGCAGGGAGAGGGTCTTGAGTGGCAACAAATCATTGTGATCGCTTGTAATTGCCACTGACAAAAGGCAGAGTGGAGACAAGTATGAACATGGACTTTGCTTTTAGAGAGACAAATGCTTTCATCTAAGTGTAATGGACAACTACTGGAGAAGTGGTTAGGGAGGCCATGAATCCTGGGCCACTCAGACACATGCTGGGTTCCTCTACAGGACAATATGGACCCTGCCAGACCTTCCTACTCACCCTGAAAGTCAAGAACGCACACGAGCACGGGAGAATGGATGTGAACCCACACACACACTCACACACTGATTAAATTAGTCCAAAGGAGCAACGGGGGCCCCCAGGACAATATTTTCATTGCTATAATAAAAGGAAAAGCTTGCTTATGGCCCTCCCCAAGCAAATATTTGGCTTTGGGTCAGCTCTATTATTCATCCCTTGAGGAATATACCGGGGCCAAAACTTTCAACGATGAAGCAAAAACTGTGGAACAACAGTAGAAAAAGAAAAACAGTCTGGGCATTTACAAGGCCTGGAGGCTTTCTGCTAATAAATCAAACATTGTACAAATTCATCGTGTAGAGTTGTGGTGGTTGTGTCACTGGAGATGGCAGTGGCAGTGGGGGTTGGGGGTGTACTGCGCTGTGGGTGGACTCGGAATATGTGACTTATCCCCATCTGAGGAAGAACTAAATCCTTAATCTTCCCAAAGTTTCCCTGGAGGGTGATGATCACTACGTGCAGATAAGCCGACAGACAGAAAAATATGACACAGCTGATGTGTGTGTGTGTGTGTGTGTGCATGCGTGTGTGTGGCGAGGCAGGACGCCTGGACTAAATCCCAGCATCCCTGGAGGTGGACTCCGTTATCAAGGAAAGGGAAAGTTATCAGGTATGACAGGAAGACAGAGGACAGACACACATAGACAGGCAGACAATGACAGAGAGAGTGGACACCGGCGTGGACCACCCAGAGGTCCATCAGGACGGGTGACATTCATCATCCAAATTGTTGGGTTCTCGTCAAAGTGTTGCCGAGATACAACAGCTTCGGAGACTGAAGGACAAACATGAACACTCCTACTGTGCATACACCCTCAGTTTGTGACTCACCTCCAAAAAACATACTGCAGGCAGCTGCCACAGTGGACTGTTCAAATATGTTCTACCTTTCCTCAGTAGTAGGTGATTTACCTTAAAAGAAATCAATAATGAAGCAATCCTGTGAAGTTAGGTTGTACCTGTATCCACTCTTTGTTTGAGTCTTCAGCCGGAGTCCATGCGTTTTCATAGTAGTTGAGTCTGGAGCGCTCTGGGGACCAGCTGGGGTTGTACTGGGATGAAGCCATGATTTGGTCCGATGTTATCTCCCCTGATTCCATTCCCAGAGGGTCGCTGCAGTCAAAGTCTGAAGGGTGAGAGAGAGGAGGAGGAGGCAGATAGATGGAGGAAGAAAAGGATAAAAAGGAGTGAGCAAAAGATGTTTAGTCGAGTTGTAAGGCGCTGAAAGCACCAGAATGTACCCAGCATGTGCTTTCAGTGTCCTCCTGATTCAGAGCTCGTCTCTGGGGAGGATGACACCACACGACAGGCACTCAGCGCTGCTGGCTAGAAAAGAACAGCGTATCAGCGCTGCCTCAGTAAATCCTTTCTGTTTCTCTCCCTCTGCTTTTTAATGGAAGAAGGATGGAAGTGTTCTGCATTAAGATGTAAAAGTGTCTTCATAAAACATTCAGTGTGGGCTAAGTTTACGCCGGTATTAGGCGTTAAAGTGACTTTCACTGTGCTTATTTTCTTCCACTGACTGGACCTATTTGCCTCACCTCCCTGTGGGCAATTTATCTTTTTTGCACATAGTGACTTCCCCCAACTTGCTCTCTTGGGGGAGTTTAGGTGAGCGGTGTATCTGTATTTCGGGGCCATATTTCACACTCAATGGCCCGACCAGCCATGGTAGGCGGTGGCTCCCCTTGTTTGTGTTGACATGGGACAGCCATTTTGAGGCATCCCGGGCTCCGTGGCTAATGCGTGAGCTGGGTCAGGTTGGGGTCAGCCTCTCTAGCCCTTGGAGGTCAGATATGCTGACGTCAACATGGACGGAGCGGCAGCAACAGACAGAACGAACGACATGACCTTTTGATCTGGGCAAAATGTCAAATGTCAACACAGTGGTTTGTGACACATTTACACAACATGGTGAAATTCTTCTTCCTTTGTCTATAAACTTCTTTTTCACCTGGTGATGAAGCTGGTCATAAAGCACATCAACAGTGTTTTAAGCTATCAACCCTCAGAAGCCATAAACTTATCTTTGGCCAAAAATACAATAATACATACTAGGGATAACATTTTATTCATTTTATATAACCTTTATAACCAATCGTATATATTATTATATTTGTGGCAACATCCATTTGTTTAAAAGAAGATAATAATATTCATCAGGGTTTGATTTTAAAGTAGTCTCAAAAATATTTTGTACTTTTTTATAATCAGTAACTGATTTATTTCTGGGGAATAACCTGATCCAATTCTGTTTGTGTCTATATGGACACACACATGCACACACACACACACACACACTCTCAGAAAGCACAGTATGAGGTGCAGTGTGGAACTGCTATGTGGCTGCTGCCTATGAGCTAACACAGATGGTCTCCCAATCTGCCACACTGCAAACACACCTCAGTCACTGGGTCAGTGTGTGTGTGTGTCTGTGCTCCACAGTGTCAGCGTGCGGTTGCATATGTATGTGCCCATGCACGAGTCTTTGTGTGAGGCTGAGAAAATTGTCTCACACCTCTCCTCCTGCGTCGTCGGCTCTTTCTTTGAGGAGACTGCCTGCTCTCCTCTTAACGTTTCATCGAGATGACCGGGTTAAAATAAAAAAAACCAAGATGAGGCATTTGTTGATCGCAAAGGACGGTATCTGATCATGTGGATTTCTGGCCAAAGTGTGTTGTTAGGAGAAAAGATGAGGTGAAAGTGAGGGTGAGGAGGGTGACTGCAGGGAATGAAAGCAAAAGAAGCAGGATAAGAGAAAACGACCAGGCTTCCTTTCATCACCTTCTCATCTCTCAACAGTAGCTTTCAGCCAGAGTGTACCCTTCCCCTTGCCATGCAGAAGCGAGAAAATCCACTGTGTATTATGCATAAGGGGATTATGAATGATTCAAGTGGTGCAAGTCTGGAAAACCAAAGTTTGGAGGGTTTTTTTCTTATCTTGGATACCTCTCAGTTGGTGATGTAAGAGCGAGCAACTCAAGCAAATTAAGGTATTTACTGATCATGGGTCAGATATTTCACCATGCCACTTTATGCTGAATGTGAAAACTTGATTTGCGTAATCTGATCTTTTGATGTGTGATTAACGCAACTCGGCTCAGGGGAAATAAGGAGAAATGACATCAGCAGTCATCGCTGCTCTCATTAGTGTGAGGCAGGGTTGTGTGTGTGTGTGTCTGTGTGTGCGCTCTGTGCCCATCTTCCCTTTGGGCAAAACAAAATCCTCTTTATGATGATTAGTAGATTTGTTGAATGTCATCCATCTCTATCACAGACTGACCCTGTGTGTGTGACAGATTTATCACTCCTACCAGTGCTCGTCTCCCTTAATGAAATGTTTAGTTGGAGCGTTGTGCAAAATGGGGTGGGAGGTCAAACTCTGTGACGACGGCTTTGCATGTAAAAAGAAACCCTGGAGTTGAGTGTTAGTGTGTGTCCAGAGCGGTTTCTGGTGCCTTTTAAAGCAAAGTGTGTAAACGTAGTTTCTTGTAAACCCCGGGAAGGCATTTTTTACAAGTCTTCTCAAATGTAACACATTTCTCAAATGAAGCAGGAAGGTGTTTATTGAATAACTCCTAAGCTTTGTTAAACGACTCAGTGGAAATTTGTCACAATAGAACCATGAGTAGCTTCGGTAGCAGGCAACATCTGCTTCTTACTTTTAGTTATATTCCTCTGGTGGTTACTTTATTGCCCCCTAATTCTTATTCAACAATAGAGCTTCAATTCACTATCCTCCCAAGCCAAATCTTCTTCCACTGAAAAGATCTCTCTGGATTCTGATTTAATTTTGATTTCTACCTCAATTATATAGATTTTTTTTTCGTCTGCATTCCCTGGCTCGCTCTGCCTCCCTGACAATCCCATCAGTCTGATTTTTAGTGTTTTTTATGCCGGCTCACCCTCTGGAACGGTCCTTTCGATGACGGTGAAGTTGGCAGAGAAGCCCTCCTTAGCGATGGCACTGTCAGTGTTGATTGTTAATGCCAGGATGCCTGTGTAGGAGATGATCCTGCCAGGAGTGTTCTGCCCACAGTACCTCCCGACGTATGGGCCGACTGGAGGGAGAAAAGAGAGAAAGCAAAAACGTCGTTACTCTGTTAGACTCGAGTTAGGTTAATATTTGTTTGTTTGCCACGGCCTTGTCACACATGGGTTTTTACTAGCAGCTCCCCCCTGTAGAGGTGTGAAAACTAGTGTGTCAGTGAGGCATAGCACCGGCTGCATTTTTTTTACTTGACCCCATAACGATGTGTGAGAAAGACTCCCAACATTCCATGGCTGCTTGCTGGTCAAACACAAAAAGAGAAAAGCGGAAGAGGGACCTGTGGTGTGGACAGGTCACGGTCTCTGTCTATTTGGTGGCTGTAAATACTTCAGACATCCCGTCTTTCCTGTATCCAAACTTTTTTTTTTTTTTCATTTCCGTGCAGACTTGAGGCAGACACAGCCATGGCTGAGTGAGTTTTGTGAAGAAGACAAAACACGTAAAGGCTGGACAGATAGACTACAGGGACATTTAAAGAGCAATAAAAGCGTGAGAGGGACACGTCCCACTGAGCAGACTGAGGAGAATGGAAAAACAGGAGGAATGGGGAAAAAAAGTGGTGAAGGTATGAGAGACAGGGGAGGCAGAGATGTGGGGAAGCGTCGGGAAAGAGTGATGTGGTAACAAGGGAGAGAAAGAGAGCACAATGACCTTGCGCTATGCCTCTGATGTGGGCTGCCATCCGTGCACATTTGTTAGCGTGTGCTCCTTGTTGGTGTGCAGGGAGCTGCAGCTTATCTGTGATTAGTAATGCTGTGATCAGCGGCCAGTGACAGTCCTGCCTCCCTGCGGCTTCCTGTCATCCAAAACATGCTTCTTTCAGCCCAGCTCCTCAGGGAACGGCCTCGGAGAGTTTCAGGGCAGAGACTTGATGGCTCAGATTAATCTTAATAACCCAGGTGTTTGTTAGAATAAATGTGTGCTTTTTAAACCTGCCAAGAACTGGACCAAACAGAAAAAATCACTTTAACTATATTATTTTTAAGAACCTTGCTTGCCTTTTTGGTCTTAAGGGAAGGGGCATGTGGGAGTGGAGGTTCGTCATCCACAGAGCCTGACCAGCAGGGTGTGTTTTGAGTGGTGGTGGTACAGGGAGGTGCGAATCCCCCCCGGTGCTTTGCAGAGGTCTGCCTTTGCCCGGACATCTCCTGGCTCTGCACACCCTGACAAATAACATGACTCCAGCCTTCTGTGATAATGTACTATCGATCCAGCAGGCACCACAGGAACCGCCTGGCAAAAGCCAACACACTATTTTCTACCCGTGGCTTATTTTTACACAAGGCTATGTGTCACAACACTTGAAGGGTGTGATGCCATGTCAGTCCAAAGCAGTGGTTAAGGTTCTGCCCTGAATAGACTCAGTGTTGGGTAAAAGAGATTCTGGTTCTTTTGTGAGGCACTTTCACCAGAATCAACTGAGAAATCGTAGAAATCCTCGAAGTAGCACAGGAAATGTATCTCTCCACGTCCCCTAAGGCTCTTTTTTTGTAAAAATATGTATTTAAAGGTGATAATAATGTGAGATATTCTCTCTTCTACAAGCGTTAATCAACACTAATCTTGAAAATTACACATGTCCCACCTCCTGGGAAGATCATACAAATGAGTCACGGAACAAAGGATCAGGTGCTGCACAGTTCACATCTACGGAGAAGACAGAACTTTGAGTAAACTCGCTTGAAAAGGCCCGTAGAATTACACTTCAACCCCATCACTTGGAGCATTGATACACACCAGGTTGAACGCCACTCGATAAAATCCTTTCAATTTTAGACGGGTGAGAGAAGCTTTCATCTCGTCTGCACCCAGCATCGGAATAGTCAGAAGAAAAACCGCAAACTTCAAGAGGTGATTTTTGCCGCTCAGTTCAAAGCCTCATCTTGGTCTCTGGAAGAATTTCTTTGAACATTGCTCCCCCGCTCCTCTCTCTCTCTCACCTGCTGATTTTTAGATGGATTTGAGAAATACTATATTTTATTGTGTGTCTGAATCTATCATTGCTTTGCCCTGTGACCGGGAGATGCTGGTTCCTATCAGGACCAAACTGGCACAGTCCAAATTCTATTAGACTTTTTTTCATCTCTCCATAGTGGGAAACACAAGGACGTTTCCAAAGGAAATTCCTTTTAGAGTCATTTCCCGCAAGATCGGCCTGTGAATCAGGACGCAGAGAGGCAACAACTTAAATATCACAGCTTACATTAAACCTCAAATTCCCAAATGCACTGACACTAACAAATCCTCCCACACAATAGAGCCTGTGACAGAGAAAAGGAAGGACGGGAGGCCCTTGTAATCAGGAAGTGTCTGGCACTGAGCAATGACGAAGCATTACGCTCATGACGACAGACTCTTGGAGCTCTGCCAAGTCTGGCGGAGGCAGTGAGCCCACTGGCCCGGATAATGCCATCATAAAGTGTAAATCTGTTCATTCCTTCTGGAGATGTGAAGTCTTTCCCAGTGCAGGACAGAAGACAATGCAGCTTTTTACATCTTTCCTGTTCCACTATCACAACAATCACTCTTCTGTGTCTAAATTGGTGAAGTGAAGTTTGTTAATAAGTCATACCAAAACAAGTGAGGTTGTGGCAGCGTGTATTAAATCAACATGGGATAGGTTCTGTTGTGTGTGATGCATTTTCTTTTTCATTTGTTGGAGAATCATCTCATTTCCTCCTTTAGTAAAATTAGAACAGTGCCTGTTCTAATCATGTCTGTTTGGAATGGATTGTTTACTTGGTCTGTGGTAATGCTGGTTGCAGTTTTCTTTCTGAAAATGAAACAGTGATCTGCAGTAATTGAGCCGTGGCAAGTAAAGAGTCATGTGTTTATTCAAAGCTCAGTAACGCTAGACTCAGTATGCAGAACCCCGAACAGGACAATCAGGTGTTTTTGCCATTGGTGGGACTATGTTGTTGATGTCTACAGAGCGCTTGTCGCCTCTTAATCCAAATGTATAAATATTGAAGTTGGACGCTGCACTTCCCTGGGCCCTTAACGATTCACACACCAAGTGCGAAGCAGATAATAGGAATGGTTCTTGAGATATGCAAGCCACATACAGAAAGACTGGGTTTCTGGAGTAAGTAGATAAAAGATACTACACAGAACTACACAGTCATGGTATAAATTACAAGTAAAAATGTGCACAGCTGTTACTGGTACTGTTCGCTCACCTCCAGGGAAGCCGTCCCAAATCTCCAGTCTGTCATAGCGGCAGAACACACCAGTAGGGGGGGTTGGGTCCGGCTCAAGCTCAAAGCTCTCGAACTCCAAGATGATCTCGGACATCTTTGGGGCGAAGATCATGAAAGTGCAGTCCAGGTTGTTGGGGTACTTCTCCGGGAAACCGGGGGATTTTATGACGCCGCTGTTGGAGGTGAAGTTCCTGGAGCATTCGGGACCTGCAGCAAAGATGAAGGGAGGAGATGAGAGAGGGCCGAGGATGATTCTTTTGTACGATTGCTGGTTAAGTGATCTGTTTTGGGTGACTTTGTGTGGTGGGTATTGAGGAGCGCTGTCTCCCAGCTGGTCTATTGAGTGGAGGACAATTTATGGTCCACAGATGAGAGACCACCTTGATGGTTTCATCTATTCACGAGAGTCAACATCTGTGTCTCAACTCCTCTCACTGTGGTTTTGAGCATTTTTCCTTTCCCTTTTCACAAAGATCACACTGTTTCATCACTGTGTGTGTGTGTGTTCAATCTGTAACTCCTGGAGCATCTGGAACATGAGTGTAAACATTAGTGAAAGGCCTCAATCACCAGGAGCAGGGAACAATAAGTAAACAGTTTGATTTACGGTGGAAAACGTATCTCTCTCTCTCTCTCACACACACACACACACACACACTCATGAGTACACTTCTGTGAAACATATGAGAGGTGCTCAGGCAAAATTATGGTGTCAGTGATGGAAGGCGAGGGCAATGACTTTGCATACATCAACACACATGTGCTCACTTTAACACACAATTTCACACGAGGGAAAGTCAAAATATTTATTCACAGCTCCCCGAAGAGCTGCCTTTCAGCTGATGAGGAGCATTAACACATTTCCCACGTTAGCCACTTGTCAGAGCATCATGAGCGTGAGATTATGATTCGGGAATGAGTGACACATTAGGACAAAAAACTGATGGTAGCAGCTGCAGGGAATGAGAAGTGTTCACTATACACTGGTCCAGAGTGTTAGCAAGCCAGGCTTTCCACAAACACATACATACAATGACAGGAAGAAGGAAAAAAACAGGATGGCAATTATTTGGAGCCATTAGTGGCAGAAATGTGCTCAGCATAATGTCATAATGTCATTTTTATGCTATTCTGACAGCCGGCATTATGGGTGCAGATGGTGCCCATCAAGACTAAAATTGCAGGGAGTTATCGCTAGATAGAGCCGCTATACTACAGTCATTGCTTCTTAAATGAATGTGGCAAACTGCTTTTTCCACTGTCATTCAAGTATCTCGCTGGGCCCCTAATTCAAGACCATCAGGCCCACTTCAGCCTGTCCACCAGTGGAGTGAGTGAAAGGAGCGAGAGCCATTTTATTTTCTTTCTTCCCGAGTTGAAAGCCACAGCAAGCGGCATTTTTGACTCTAAAGAGAGTTGACATTTAGTGCAGCGGCTAAAGTGTGGCTTTTGAGAACAGTGGGCACCATTAATTTCGCAGCTTCCCCACGTATTTACCCCTGGAAAATAAAGAGGCTCAGCTCGGAGGGAGAAAGAGAGAGAGCGTTGCCTGGGATTTGCGGGTGGATGGAGGGTGCAGTTCTGCACTTCACCCTCGCCATATTTGGGAGAAATGTCAGCCAGTTGTAGAGGGGAAAAAAACTACAGATACAAGAAACTTCTTTGAAAAAGGCGCCCATGGTTCCTAAGTGCTCGAGACAGCTACGGTATCCAAAGTGCAATTTAGTTCAGAGAGCTGAATTTCCTGTGGTTATTGGCTCACAACTCCGCTCTCCATCCATTTCATCAGCCCCCACCTTGACCCTTATCTCAGCGCAGCAGCTGACCAGAACAGATTTGGTCTTGAGAAACTGTTCCACTGTGAAAATCCAGGCACATAACTGGCACAAATGCTAATATTCATTACCTGCAGCATTTAATAATAATAATATTTTTTACTTGGAAAATAGGATAGAGCTTAAATTTTGCAAGTTAACTTTACATATCTCGCCATTGCTGTTATGCCTCTGAATGCTTACGACTAGGGCCGAGCCAAGGACAGACTCTTGTCAAATTGTGTGTGTCTCTATTATTACACCACCACCTCAAGAAAAGGACAGAGCGAAGACATCACAACAAAATAGAGTGGCAAGAGAAGACGGAGCGCTCTGGTCATTCCCACCGGCAAGATAATCATCCGACAGATCTCTTTTATCTAGCGTCTCAACACGGGAGGTCTTCTGTCCCCGGCTCCCCTCGCTACAACCAGGTTGCTTTGTGTTGATGTCTGTGTGAGAGGCATTCAGTGATAGTGGTCACGCTTTTCAGTGGCAGCGTCTTGTGTGCTTGCATTATTGTGGAGACAAATATATCCCCGTTGTCAGCCAAATGCCTACTCCTCGCCCCTCACTCCCTGTCGCTGTTCTGGCCGATTCATCACCTCGACAGTGAGAAAGGTTTTAAAATGGAAAAAGGTTTTGTTAGTATGACGGGTTTGACTTACACAAATACTAGCGTGTGCCCACTGGTTCATACACTGCTTTTAAACAAACCGAAGAATTTACAACTGGAAGTAAGGGGAGAGAAAAAGAAGTAACCTTGAACGCATAACATTTACCGCCAACCTCCAAGTAGGCGCTGTAACGTTAACTGCCGGCCGTAATGGATTCTTTTAACTCTCATTTATGTCGAGCCCTTCTCCTCAGGAGGAGAGAATAAACAAATGTCAGTCCCTCTCGCTCTCTGAATGATTAGAGTTTGTTTAACAGGACAAATTGTAGCCGGTGAAATGATATTTAATGGAGATCTGATTTCAGTCTTTGCAAGTGTTACAGATTTATTATGCATCTTAAATAAATATGGTTTCAGCATTAAGGGAAAACGGCGCTTTCAACTGTTAGTCTTCTTGATGACTTGTCCTCTATGTCTCTATTAAGCTGTTGCTCTAAGTGCTGAGAGCAGAGACTGGGCGTTCATCATTAGAACAACACAGCGCCATGAACAGGCGTTAAATGTGACAGCCTCTCGCTATTTTCACTTTTAAATCTCTCCCTCTTGCTCTGCCTTTCCACATAGTCTCTCTATTTTTCATCTATTCATCCCTCTCTCTCTCCACAGTCGGGGGTTATTAGGGGCCGGAGCCATAGGGACTGAAGGTGTTGTTCTTGGACTCCTAAGTAAATCACCACTGTTTATGTTCCATGTTGCTCTCTGGCTGATCATTAGCCCATTTCAACCCCCTCTGCCCCCTGGCATTCACCCCCCGTTACCACACCACCTCTCCTACACCATGTACTCGCCACACTGATGGGGGGGATTAATCGTCAGTGGAGAATTAACTCTTTCAACACTAAATCAAACATTAACCTGAAGCCTTTGGAGTGTCGGCCATTCAAACAGATGGGAGGGCAGGTTTATCCCCTCACACACCCCGAGGCTCTGCACTTCTGACATGGCACTTAGTGCGTTGACTGCGCCGGTAACGTCACCCCCCCCCCCATCCAATGAGGGATGACACGGTGCTGTTGGGATTCTGGGGCAGGGGAAGGGATAGTGGAGGGGGCTGCAGTCTCCCTCCGGCTCCCCTTAAAGAGATTTGTTGTCTTGGGTTTCCATGAGGGCTGCGTGTGTGATGACAGTACGTCTCCATGCCAGATGTGACCTATGCCATCAGGGCGTGCCGTCCATGAAAGCAGAATGTACCCTCTATTAGGCCCCATCAAACACACACACGCATAAATATACACACACACACGCATGTTGAGAGTGTTTTCACAGGTGTGTGCTCTGAGTAAATGTGCCCGCATCATGATGACATAATAAACAGCGCCCCTGTTTGAAAGATGGTGTTTTTTAGTGTAAAGAAGAAACACGATAGCTCTGCCACCAACAGTCATTGTGCTGAATAATAGTGAGGAGACAGAGATGAGTCTCAGTGTGTGGAGGTGGGAGGGAGGGAGGGGGCTACCAGTGGCACTATCTCTGCCTCGTCACCCACTTCAATGGGCCCTCAGCCAGCCTTGATGTGGCTCTGAGCTCACTGCAGGGCTGTAAAAGAAAACATGTGCTCTGTATGCATGATTATACTGCAGAGGACGGATGTGTCCAGAAACATTTAATGAGAAATCTTGTCAGAGGATACGATAAATAAAATTACCAGGATTTTGATGGAAGGTGGACTGCCTCAACTGAAGCAGCCATAATGCTGGTTGTTACCTTTACCATTCAGAAGGTAGTGTTTCCAACCCATGTCCATTTGTTCATCGGTTGGTTGGTTTGTTTGTAAGCAAGATTTGTTTCGATTTTTTGATTCAACATCAATATTTGGCGGCGTTATGCCAAAAACAAAAGCAAACACAGCTTCGAATATCCCTCACTCTCCGACCCATCCCTTTTCTCCCTCCTCTCCCATGATCTCCCTCCTTCCCGTCTCTTGCCAGACTTCAGCCAGTGGAGCGAGGCTGCCAATTTGCAGGCTATAAAATAAATAGCCCATGCTAATTAAGATGGTTGGATGGGATTGAGGAGTGGAGTGGGGTAGAGACTGATGTGGAAGTGGCCATAGAGAGCCTCAAAACAACCTGTTCTCTCTCAATTAGACACTTCGCAGGCTACCGCTGATGAAAGCCAGGGCTACGAATGCCAGCATGTTGAAGTATATGTGTGTTTGAAAGTGTATTTACATAGTTAACAGCTAAAAGGGGGTCAACCTGCACATTGCAAACATTGCCATATGATCCCAGATGTGAGCCCTTCCGTATGTTTGCTTTGTGCATGAACTTTGCTTGTGTTAAACCCAGGATGAAAGGTACCAGCACTCCCTGAGGTTGACTCCCAGCGATCTCCAGGCCTATAATCACAGTGATAAACAGCCTGCATCTTTTGACGGGTTGGTGTTTTTGAATTGCCTTTCATTGGAATGCATGAGCGTGCACCTCCCGTTCCTCCATCCGTTATCAGGCCATCTGTGTGCCATCATTAACGTTACATGTGTTAGCCAACACAATGTTTTCTAGACTAATACCCTGCTTGTTGATAAGCTGTGCTAATAAACTGGCTTTGTATCTCTCTTTTTGCCTGGTACCCGCTCTCTCTGCCTTTATCAAACAGAGCTGTTAGTTCATCTCTTAGACCAGCTCTTGGCAGCAGTTAGGACACCGAGTGAATTCAAAGCGTAATGAATGTCTGGATCAACTAAAGAAGCACAAGAAGTGGGAAAAAACTTTGTTCCTGGGTTTAATCTCCTTCAGCCCCAATTTCCCTTTGGATTCCGTGAGCAAAAAAAGCAGATTCTTATAGCTTCAACTCTCTAGTCCTGACTTTCTGCAGATCCAGATCTGTATTTCCTCATATCTACATGTCTGGCAAGTGTGTTTTTACCCCCTATTGCTACTGGGCCCTTACATTCCTCATTTATAATCAGCTTTGACAGATGAGAAAGGGAAATACCGAGCAAAAAATGGGGAAAAGAATGTGGTAGATTTAAGCGGACTATCAAGGGGAACGAGGCAGTGTTGATGAGTTTGTGTATGTCAGGGGTGGAGCGTCGCTTTGATCTCGTAAATGGACCCACACTCCACCAGCTGCCCTGCTGCGATGATGACACACACGAGCCCAGACACACAAACACACGGCAAGGCAGACGCACGCAGGCCCAGATTAAAAGGAAGGAGGGACCTTGCAGGGCCATTCATCTTGTCTCCGAGGTCACGGGGGCCGTCTTATAGAGCGCTGCAGAGGTTAATTAATGAAAGTGGAGTCTGTGGCACCTGTCTGCCTGCTAGTCACTCTCCAGATATGTGTTGTCCTCCTCCCGCTTCGTTTATTCCAAACAAAGCAGGCAGCCAACCAACAGGGTACTCCCTCGTGTTATGCTGTGTTCTGATAAGATAGACTTCTCCTGAGGAAATGTGCACTTAATCATACACGATTCCCAACTAGAATTACCCAGAGAGTTATTTTTAGGATTAACATAAAGGAATGAACCTCAGGCTGTATCCATAATACTATCTTTTGGCCGTGTCTTAGTTTTAATCCTCATCCATACAAACACACCTAAAAACGCATATTACGTGACCACTTGCAGCGTGTGTGGGTGTAAACAGGAAATGCTGGAATAATAGCTTGTCTCCTACTCATGTAATTAGTTGCATCATTGTAAAATGCAGGATGTTATAGAAGGCCACCGAAGCAGTGAAGGCTACGTCATGACAGAGCTCATCGTTTCCTAACATCTGAGTTTCCAAAACGGACCCTCTCCGTATAAGCAGCTAAACATTTGGGAGTAGTTTGGGTGCCAGACGTATCGGTAGCAGCGTTGATGGCTTTTCAAATGAAAACGTGACTGAATTCCATAACAGCACTCAGAAAACAAGTGTATTGTTGAGTCGAACTGATCTCACTTTCTCCACAACCAGCTGGTCATTAGTTATGGTGACAGGTTCATGTCCTTGCTTTGTTAGTCCTAACCTGCCATCTGACGATAAACCAACACTCCAAACATTACTTGGATCATAGCTCTGTGAATTATGTCCTTGCTTATTGTGCAATAATTCACATGAAATACAAACTGCTACAATTATGGAACATATGTGACTATGATTCATTGGTTTTGAATAGAACATATTGTCTGCCATATTGCGAGCGTATAATTTGATGCTCTGGTGCCTTGACTAAATCACAGACAAACCATAAAAACACATTATATGAACTTCATATTGTAGCCTGCTATGTTGGCATGATGGATTAAAGTCAAATCATACTAATATAAGAGATATGAGATGATGTGGGTGATATCAACAGATAAATAATATTTTGGTTTTGGCCATCACAGGTCTCTTTTGGTCTCTGCATTGTCTAACATAGGATTGCTATGTTTCAGATAGCTGGAATTAAGTCAAGCTTCAGCTGTATTAATCCACCCACCTGTCTTGAAGATCTCATATCGGATGGAGAAACCTGCTCCATGGGTCTCGTAGTCCGACACAAACTTGATGAAGAGCTGGTTTCCAGATGAGACGACTGGAGATGGGGCGATCTTCCCGCAGTACTTTCCCACCAGCTGCCCGCTCTCGTCCACGCCATCTCGCACCTCGATGTAATCATATCTGAACAAGAGGAAGAGAGGCAACGTCAGTCCCATAGTGCTTTCCACAGCATGTCCTCTTTATGTTTTATTCTCTTCACTTTATTTAAGTTACATTGGATGGGTATTAGAACGTCACTCGTATGTTGTTTATACTGTGCAAGTATGAGACACACATACACACACATGCATTCATATTTGCAGGAGCACACACACACAGAGCATATTGTGCAGGTAATGTAGTGGAAATAAAACACTGTGTACTAATGAGGTCTCAGGTTAAAACTGTTAGAACAGGTGGGCGGCTTTGATTTCATTACATCGACTTGACACACACACACACACACACACACACACACACACACACACACACACACACAGGTCTTGTACTCCCGGCAGTGCTGAGGTCAGGTTTATGTAACAGCTTTAACTACTGAACTTAAGCTGAACGGTTGTCTATGTGTTATTTAACCTCAGGAGAACACTGACATTGTGTGTGTGACTGTTCTTGACTATGAGAATCGAGAGTGATTATATTTTGGCCTTTGGCTTAGGAGGGTGATGAATATACAGAGCAGGTGGTAAACTCATTTAAACACACACAGAAACATCACATTCAAATGGAATTTCAGACCTACGGCTATTGAAGGGAGCAGCCGCCTAACTGAGTTGTCGCAGAGTTTGGGAGCAGAAGAGGAAAACTGCTCTGAAATGAGACTGGGAGCGGGAACTGACGCACACTCACACACAGAATGTAGCATGCCAACCAAGATGGCAGAGGAGAAACAAGAGTGAGGGTGGTCCAAACAGCCTGAGGTTATCAGTGGTTATGTTTTCAGGCAGTTATTAAGAGGGAACATTAAGTGCAAGACTTGGTTCTACTCCAGTGCCTGCACGTGTGTGTGTGTATGTGTGTTTGCACGATGATTTAGATGACTTTTCCGTGCTGTGTTTTGACTGTGAGTGACGAGGCGAGCGCCCCTCTCAAAGCAGATTCTGGTTCAGGTTTCCATGGATCCTAATTGCCCATAACGTCTGTTCACGCCAAGTTTTCAGCTATGCAGGCCACTTATCAAACATTTTCCTGCCCAAACCCTGATGACCTGCTGCCGCGCTCCTCCATCTTCACCAGAAACCAGTTAAAGAAAAAAAAAGCAATCCACACATAGTAAGTAAATGAATTATTTTAATGTATGTAAAGTATAATGTGTAACAGGTGAGCGGGCACATTTAGTCGCACACATGCGCCTTCTGTTTCCTCAGAAAATATGTGCCCTCTGGGCAAAGGGGCCTATTTTTGCAGTTTTACTTGATTCCTAAATTACTGTCAAAACATCACGCCTCCTTAACGATCCTGAACTCACTTAATTCACAGAATTTTGCACAAAACAGCGATTTACACTTTGAATGATGGCTCAGGGTGGGTGAAGTCCCTGAGGTGGGGCTCGACACGTCTTCACACGCACTGTTTTTCGACTTTTTTTCCCAATGAAAATGGTTTCCTTCACCTGCCTCAAATTCAGTGAACAGAAATCAAATTGCCAGAGGTGATTTGGGGAGGTGGGGAATTATAACCGCCTGTGGTTGGAGTCAGCAAAACCAAGGGGAAAGGCCGAGTGTAACTCAATGTGGAGTTGGACATGAGAGACAAATGTTGCAAAGAAGCATTGGGGGATGGATGACTTCACTCGTCTTGTGATCTGAGGTGATATGGAGCTGTCAACATGCAACAGGTGTCTCCTCTTATTCGTTGTCTCTTTAAATTTCAGCGCCTCAGGTTAAAGGATTTGGATTTGTATGTGGCAGGAAAGCTGCAGTCTGTAAATCCAATCCAACAACTGCCTCTGTGCCCTGATATATCCAGCTCCACTCCGCTCATACAGACATTCAAGCCGCATTACAACTTTCATCAAAAACTGGCAATATATTGCTCCCTCCACTTCAGTTCAAACTGCTTAAAATCCTTCAGGAGCCCAGTCCTCTCATTTCTGTTGCTTGCTCTGTGAAATCCCCTGCTTGAGTTATTTGGCTTTTTCCTCGTTGCTCTTTTCTGGGATTTCAGAGGCACTGCCTTCACAAGTACCACTTTGTTTCAGCTACTTTATCAGCTGCAGCTCGGTAAAAAATATACTAGTTTCACATGGTGTTTACAATGTTATCCTCCTCCACGGCTTCACGGCTTAACGGCCAGGGAGTTTCTCATTATTTCATTTAAAGGCCTCCCCCGAAGCAGGGATAGTGTTTCTGCAGTAATGATGTCATTGTCGAGTTAAGTCACCAGTTAAGTTTTTACAGTCAAAATTGAATTAAAGTTATTTTTGAATGTCTTATGTTTCTGTCTGCGTTGAAGTAGCCAGCATGTGTCAAAACAGATTGAAAAAATATTCCAAAAAGATTTCTTCCATAAATTGTTGTTGAAATCAGCTCCCTCTCCTCTCCTCCTCTCCCTCTTTTCTCCTGATTCCTCTCCTCTCCTCTCCTCCTCTCGGTTCACAGCTCACAACAGAGAGCATCAATCTTTCTGCGGGTCTGCTCTGCTCTATCAGCAGACTTATAATTCACCTCAGAGCCTCTGTCTCTGCAGCTATCTGACTCCTCCCCTGCAACTGCCAAAAGCTGAACATTGCCAGACCCCTAAAAAATTGATGCTAAGATGCATCGCTGAGATGAAGAGGGAGAGAACAGCAAGCTGCAGTACAGCTGGAGGAGCTGAGCAAGTGTTTGTGTGTGTGATTCTGTTGTTTCTGAGCACATATGCATGATATATATGCAATCGAGTGTGTGAACAGCTCATGATATTGTGTGTGCATGTGGACAGAAGCCAATCAGCTCATGCTTTCATTTAGCCTTTCCTCACAGTCTTTGTTCATCATCCAAACGAGAGAAACAGTCTCACTGTTGCCTCGTCGCACCTCCAGAAAAGCTGTTTATTGTATTTTCACCCTGGTGCGTTGTCAACACGCATGGCCCTCATAAAGGCGGCGCAGTGGGAGGCAGGATGCAGATGGAAAAGGGAATATGCCCTCGAGGGGGTGGGGGGACTCTAATAAAGACGACAACTCTAAAACATCTCTATTTGTGACTAAATGACCGGTGTGTGGGCCAGAACTCTAGTGGTTCTGCACCAGTGAGTCCGAACACTTTATCCAGGCCCTTATCATCTGGAAGACATTATGGGAAACGCTTGGCGGGGCACTTTGACGCCTATAAAAAGGCTCTCCTGTTGCCAGTTGTGTTAAATGTAGCTCTAATCCTTTTCTCCAAACACCTGTGGGGACTTGCTTCTAGGGTTGGGAGTCTTTGGGGGAAGATGGAGGACAGTTAACAATCTCCAAAAGCAGAACAAGAACACGGCCTACTTGTGAGCCCCGCATGGTCCCACATTTTCGGGTTTTTGCCTCTTAACTATGTTCTCCTGTCCTGTCAAGTTAAACTTAGATTCTCAGGGGCCTGTGTGGTGATTTTTTTATGCTGCTGTTGTTGTTCTTATTCCTCACGACAATAGAATCCATTTAAGCCGTGCTCCTATTTATCTGTCTAGTCTGCTTTGGGTGTGGGTGGGCCTGTCAGCACACCACAACACACATGCACAGATGATTACACACACATACAGTGAGCTACCTAACACAGTGCTAATAGTGAAAACGGTTTGCCAATCCAGTGGGGAAATTAAGAGGGAAAAAAAAAAGAGAAAGGGGTTGGGGGGTGTTGTGAGGGGGCGGCAAATGTAATTCTCTACGACCTTCGCTTCACCGATTCAAATGTATTAGCTCGCCGTCTTTCTTCAGGCAAAGAGAGAAAGCAATCCGCCAGTGTCAAACGAGAGCATTAGCCCTCATTGCAAAGCCAAAGAGAAGGCGACAAACTACTGGTCTAACAATATAACAGTTATATTGCCTGAAGCTTTCCCATGGAAATAATCTGTCCTCCCTCTATAAATGTCTGCTTGATATGGTTCTACAAAAAGAAATACAATCTGAGGCAATGGAATAACGCTATGACAGACTGTATGAGCCTCAAACAGTTGGTTAGATTTCTTAATCAGACCATTTATAAGCTCAAGCATTCTGTGGAAAGCCCCAGAACAAGAGTTCTTTTTGTGCCATTACTCTCTTACAGCGCTGAGCTGCTTGTAGAACAAATGCCTGACGCATTTCTCTGGCATTTCTTTTTTCTGTGGCTGCCGCGGTATAATATTGCTGTTGCACGAAAACACGTCACCTGCAGCACGTCAAAACATCTCCAAGTAACCCAGGTGGAAAGGCTTGGACAACATGCTTGGGAGGGCTCTGGGAGGCCCATGAAGGCTTAGAAGAATAAAAGGACCTTGTTGTCAGCTGTCAGAAAACTCCAGCCGGAGACTTCAGGTGTTAATGAGTCTCCACTAACAAACTGTCATTGGGGCTCAAGGAAAATATCATTAACGTTTGTACAATGGGGCCCGAGACAAGCTGATCCGCGACTTACTTTTTCCAAGCCCGGAGGGGAAATATCACTGCAATAAAATGGTCTCTCTTTCTCCGCTTTCCCTCCCATACTGCCCCCTCCCCTTCTTGCATGTGACATTCATTAACCCAAACTAGAATAACAAGTTCCCTCTTCCTCCTCAGAGCTAGTCAAGTTGTAATGACCCAAACGTCAGCTTGCCTGGACAGACGAGGAAGAGCTGAATAAATGGGGCAGTAAACCAGGTCCAAGCTAAAAACATTAACCCCAGTGGTAACCCTAGTAAGATTTTTATTGAAGGGAGAGGCCTCATCATTAATCCAGAAGCCTGACCATGAGGTATGAAAAAATTGGGAGCTTTTATAAGCTATCAATCTCTGCACTGATCTCTACTTCTGAATCCGCAAAAACGAAGGCCACAGAATGTGCCAACCCACGAGCGGGATAAACCACCGACCAATCAGAGCTGATGGGTTCAGAAGTGGGTTCTTGTCAGTGAGGAAGGAGGGACATGATTGCTTTGCTCACCGCCTCCCTGCCACACGGATGGATTGAAGTTAAAAAAGATGGATGAAA